GTGTGTGCGCCTGTGCGCGTGCGTGTGTGCGCCTGTGCGCGTGTGTGTGTGCGTGCGTGTGCGTGCGAGTGCGTGTCGAGCGCTCATGGTGCTGGCTACCCACTCCCTCGTGTGCCGTGGGGAGCGGTAGTGCCAAGGCTTGCGCGCTGCGCTACGAACCCGGCGACCCGAGTTCGATTCCCGCTCGCAGTCAACACCGGTGATGATTATCTGAACTGGTACTGGGCCTCCCCTAGGTCGACTCAGCCTAAAATGAGTACCTGGTGCGATGTGTAAACATCGCCACCGGGGAGACAAAGGCGGTCGGGCGTGGTGTTGGCCACCCACACACCCCCATGTGTACTGTTCCGGCCTTCATAGGTTCTCGCCAACAGCACTTGCCCCAACAGTGCGTTCAGGCTATACGGGGGATCTTTGTCTCTGCGAGTGTGTGTGCATCAAGCGGTCGTGGTGCTGGCCACCCACCTCCGAGTGTGCCATGTGTCGGCTATCACAGGTGATACTCGCTAACAGCAATTGCCCCACCATTCTGCTAAATGCTATACGGTGAGTGGCAGATGTCACGGCACTTGTGTGGTGAAGGACTCCCCTAGGAAGGATGTCTTGGGGCTCAGCTCATTCAAGGTACTTGGTTGCTCAAGGATGCCCTGGGACTCGCTGGTGCTGCTCTCTGTATGGCTACTCACTGCGAGTGCCGGTTGGGTTTGTCTCGCGGGCTGTATCGTGGTGTTGCTATCTTGTCTGTTAATGCCACGGTGGCAAGATGTTAACTACCTCGCCTGGTATACAGGAGGTCGTGGGGTCGACACCGACCCTGACGCCTGCTGCTATATATTTGGAGTTTGCATGTCTCTCTCTCCCCTTGGTCGCGTGGATTTTTCTCTCCGGTTCCTCCGGTTTCCCCCCCCCCCCCCCCGCATTTAGAAACATGCATTTAGAGTATTTGGCTGCTATAAATTTCCACGCGATAAGCCACTTAATTTGGCTATCATTTGTGGCCAGGTCACTTCTGAAAAAGAGTTACATAGCTCAAGTGGGCCTTACCTGGTAAAATAAAAATCGTTTCGTTTTAGTTTAGTCTCTCTCCCCCGTGTCTCCCTGCCTTCGCTCAACGGCAATGCACAGGGCTTGGATGCGAGAAACTAAATTTGACAACTTGAGAACGAGAGAAAAGCGGCGTGGGGAAGGACATTACCTTCATCTCCCTCTCGCTCTGCATCTTGTCGAGATGCTCCTGCTCCTGGTCTCTGAAGGCCACGGCGCGCGCTTCTGTGGGGTTTCAGTCGGCCGTGTCAGAAACAAAACAAGAAACATTCATTCAGTGTCTCGGCAGTGCCCACAGAGAATCAGAATCTCCATCGTGGAGAAATCCGATGCGCTCTGGAAGCCCCCTTTTCACAGACCCTGGTGTTGGCTGGCGAGTAGGACCACCTTGTGCTCGCAGCGTCACAACCTCCTCGTCGAGGGCATCGAGGGCCTCCTGCAGCTGCCGCTTGCTCTGCTCGGACGCCTGCAGGTACTCGGAGAGCGATCGCACCTTGGACTCGTGCTGCCAGGGGACAGCAGCGGCACACAGGGCACAAGGCAAAGTCACCGGGGGCTACTTCCAAAGTCACGGGGGCTATAATAGAGGTTTTTTTTTAATTATATAAATGTGTCGTTAAAACCCGCCACCACCCGACATAGATAACTAGTAAGGGTTGTCGCGTAAACAGAACGTGGCCAATTCGTCACTAGTACAGCACACCGGTGACGAATTTGCACGTTCTGTTTACGTGACAACCCTTACTAAGATGGCTGTGTCGTGTGGTGGCGGGTTTTAACGACACATTCATATATTTACGCGATCTAACCCAAAAACCTCTATTATGAATGATATTGGTCGCGAAAGCCTCCTCCGTGTTAAGCTCACTGGGGCTACTTAACAAGGTCATCATCGGGGCTACTTCCAAAGTCAGAGGGACGATGACAGCCGGAGGTCGAGACTAACGATGGAGTGGCAGCCCAGAGGCAGGAAGCGCCCGGACGTCGGTGGCCAAGGGAACGACCGAGAAACCCGATGGCGGCCGGGACCAGACTTGACGACACGTTGCGGGATATCGCAGCAGGCGGAAGAGAAGCAACGACGAGAACATTTGAAAGCACCGGCCGTTGTCGTCGCAGAGTCCCAAATTGAGAACCACCCACGGCCAAACCGGCGCGAGTGGTGCGTCTCAACACGCGGCTCGAGGGCCGCAGCGCCACCACCCTGCGCTTCTCACAAACTGACACGCGCCGCCGACGCCGCCGCCGACTCCGCCGCCGCCCGCGCTTGCCTGCGACGTGACGAGACGCGCGCCCTCCAGCTCCAGCGCCGTCGCCCGCGCTCGCCGCTCCGCGTCGGCGTGCTCCGCCTCGAGCTGCGAGGCGCGGCGCGTCGCCGACTTGGCCTCCGACTTGAGCTTGGTGAGGACGAGGCGCACCGTGGACAGGTCGTCCTCCGCACAGCCCGCCTGCTGCTCCGCCTGCACGGGACCACGGGACGGGCAGCGTCAGACGTTTCAAGCCCAGGCCAACGGCGGCGTCGCCCGTCTAAAGACGCGGTACGGGGGGTCTTGCCAACGCACGGGGCAGGGAGGACCGACGCCGTGCCGAGAGTAGATGGGGCAGTAGATGGGCAGTAGATGGGCGCCATGGTTGGCGAGATGTTAATTACCTCACCTGATGTACAGGAGACCGTGGGTTCGATCCTGACCCTGATGATGCCTGTGCATTTGGAGTTTGCATGTTCTATCGTTACTGATTTATTTCACCAGGTCACACCCACTGAGCAATACAGCTCTTTTTCAGAAGTGACCTGGCCACAAATGATAGCTCAACGAAGTGGCTTATCACGTGGAACTGTACAGCAGCCAAATACTCCACGTGGCCACGTGACGATAGAACATGCAAACTCCAAATGCACAGGCATCGTCAAGGTCAGGATCGAACCCACGATCTCCTGTATACCAGGGCGAGGTAGTTAGTCTCTAATTTTTCTCTCGTCGTGTTTTTTTGTTGCTGTTGTAACTTTCTGAACCCCGCCCAATCTGCACATAGGTTGACAAATCGAGCTTCATAGAGCTCATCGGATCCCTCCCTCCCTCCAAATAAAGATTTCCGATTCGGCGGGGACGAGGGCCCCCCCCCCCCCCCACCTTGCCGTCTGCGGCGCCACCGAGGGCGGCGTGGATCTCGGCGACGTCGCGCAGCAGCAGAGCGGCGCTCTCGGCCGTCTTCTTGCGCTGGAAGGAACTCGACTCGTGCAGGCGGAGCAGCTCGGCCTCCACCGTGCTCAGCCGTGCCTGGACACGCGCACACACGGACACGTGTACACACGGACACGCGTGACGGCGTGTGCGCGAAGACACGGACAAGCGTGACGACGGACGCGTGGAGACAACGGACACGCGTACACACGGACACGCGCACACATGGACACGCGTACACACGGACACGCGCACACATGGACACGCGTACACACGGACACGCGCACACACGGACACGCGCACACACGGACACGCATGACGACGGGCACGCGGAGACAACGGACACGTGTGACGGCTGCGCGCGGAGACAACGGACACGCGTACACACGGACACGCGCACACACGGACACGCGCACACATGGACACGCGTACACACGGACACGTGTGACGGCGTGCGCGCGGAGACAACGAACACGCGTACACACGGACACGCGTAAGATGCGGGGTGCACGACCCAGGGCCGTCCCTCACCGTCTTGCGCTGGAGATCGAGGCGCAGCAGCGCCACCTCCTTGGCTCCCTCCTCCGCCTCCTGCGAGCGCGCGTCGTAGTTGAGCGCCAGCTCCTCGAGCGCCTGCAGCACCTCCTTGACCTCGTCGCGCGACGCCTCGTTCTCCCGCTGCAGCCGCGCCAGCTCCTCCCGCAGGCCGGCGTCGTCCCGCCGCGACCACGCCAGCATCTGGAAGGTCCCCGTCCCCGTTCCCGTGTGAATCTCGCGCGCGCGCTTGCCGTGGCGAGTGCCGCTCGCGAGGATCCGTTAAAGTCGCAGCGACCTTAATGGATCCACGTGGCCAAACCCCCCCCACGCAAATCGCTCATGTTTAATATACACAACGGCAGGCACTCAATTCAGGCCGAGTCAACCTAACGGAGGGCCCAGGATTGGTTCAAATATTCGTCGCGGCGATTCATTGGTCGCGAGCGGAAATTGAACTCTGACCGCCAGTTCGTAGCGCAATGCGCGAACACACTGCACTGCCCCCCCCCACCCCCCTACATTTCGCAGGCACGCAAGCACACACACAACAGTCGCACACACAGGATAAAGCCAATACACGAGGTCCTGAGAGTTCTAATTTAGCCCAAGGCCCGGGGTTGCTCACCTCATCCTGCTCCATCAGCTGCTGCTTCAGCTTCTCCACCAGCAGAGCCTGCTGGGTGATGTCATCGTCCTGCCAACGCAACCACACGCAACGCCACCGCGGTCACTCGCCAGCGTCGTCTTTGAGCGCAGCAGTGGTCAGCATGCTGCGCGACATAAGCCTGGCAAGCAGAGTTTAATTCTCAGCCGTGGCGAACGTAAGCGACACAAACCTGCTCATCCCCCTTTCACCGACACCGACCGGCGTTGACTGGCGCGGTGCAGTATGGTGTGGTCAAACAACGCCCAATGACCGGGTGGAGAGGCCTTCATCTTTGAGTGTGTGTGCGGGCGTTCGTCAAGAGGGTGTTGGCCTAGCGTGTAGAGCAGTGTGTACCGCAGTGTAGAAACCCAGGTTCGATTCCTTGCCAATAAAAAACTCCGGTGGCAATTGGCATCCGAGCCTGTACATGCAAATCCTTACCCCTTTGTGGACCTGGCCACGGTTGTTTGAGAGATCATCTGTAGCTCAACCATCACAAGCCGATTAAAACCTAAAAACTGCCGGGTCATATGCACACCCTGTCCACCCGCCCAATCACAATCGTCATCATCATCATCGCTTAATATTCACACCGTGCCTCCCCACGCAGTACACATCGAGGCACCCGCAGGCAGGGAACCCCCCGGGGGCAGCCGTCCCTGCCTGGCACGAGGTGAATGCAACACCGGCCATCGGGCGGCAATGTTACCACATGAATGATCAAATTCGGCAAACTTCGGACCATGACGCTCGGGCACGCCTGAAGCAGATGTCAGCTACCGTCGCAATAAACGCACCCGCACGCGGGTCCGCGGGCATTAATCGCGAACCCTCTTGCAACGGGCCTCTCGCGCACCTTGTCGTCGAGCTGGCGGTAGAGCTTGCGGAGCCGCTCCTCGACGACGCGAGGCTCCGCGTCGTCCAGTCCGGGGTAGACGCTGATTCTGCCGCTGCCGCCACTGCCGTCTCCCGCCTGCGGCGACGCCGGCGGCGACGCCGACGGCACGTGTCGCCCCGCGAGGGCGGAGCGCCCGGCGCCGCCTGCGCCACATGGGGCCTCCACGCGCCGCGCCGCTCCTCCTCTTCCGGCGACGGTGGCGGCATCATCTCGCCTGCGAAACACAACAAGCATTTCTGAAGAAATCAGAAGGAAGAGCGTTCCAGACGGCCGCAGGAGCGCATCCGAAAGCGCGCGATGCGGTGACTGTCTTTGTTCGATCGCCAGCCAAAAGCAAGCCGCTGCCGCGAGGATGGCCGGGAGGATTTCGCGTGACGGTCTATTCTCCTCCACGAGATCGGCAAGGTATCGTGGTTCATTTGTGCGTAATGAGTGCGACCTTGTAATGTATTCGTTCGGCAAATGGAAGCAAATGCAGCTCGGCGAGCACCGGACCTTACAGTTGCAAGTGAATGCCCCATCCAAGGCTTTGTTGGTTTTATTTTATGTTATCACAACAACAATAATAATTAATCAAATATAACGGAACTAAAATACTGACGCGACCCCACCAGGCTACAAACAATGGGGGGGGGGGGGGCAGCCCACGACCTCCGACCTGCCGTACCATTGCGCCACCGCTGGAGCTCGGCCTCGAGGCTGCGGATGGTGCCCTGCAGGCTCTTGTTCCGCTCCCTCTGCTTCTCGTATTTCTTCTTCCACTGCTCGGCCGTCAGCTCCAGGTTCACCGTCACCGTGTTCTTGATCATTTTCGCCCTGCCGAGGTTCCACCGGGGGTGGAGCGCGTGCACGGGTGAACACACGAAACACACGCGGGGAGGGGGGGCACGGGGTCCCCATCGCTTTCGCTCGCCGCTAAGACTTTTAACCGGGAAGGGGTCCATCCCCGTGACCGGGTCGCCGTGGGAACGCGCCCGGCAGAGGTCGCAACCGGGTACCCGATACCCGTACCCTACCCCATACCCGGCTACCCGTACCCGGCCGGGTACGGGTAGCCGTTTGCGACCCTGGTGTGGCCGATTACGGGTACGGGTAGGCCATGAGTCACTGGTGAGTAACAGTTTGTCACTCATTTCGGGTAGGGTACGGGTACGGATAGGGAACGGGTACCCGTACCCGGCCGGGTACGGATACGGGTACCCATTTGCGACCCTGGTGCGGCCGGGTACGGGTACGGGTAAGGAATCAAAACCCGTTTGCGACCTCTGGCGCCCGGTCTTCGGCAGGCCGTGGAAGCTAGTAAGCAGGGCTGAGCCTGGATAAGGGGAGAGGGTGTCTTGGACCGGCAACCAGCGCGCAAGCACGAAACCTGGATGTGTTCAATTTATTTCACACCCTACGTAGCCAATCGTACTAAATGGAGGTGCAGTGTTGAGTCTAGGTGCAGTGTTGAGTCTATGTGCAGTGTTGAGTCTGTGGGTAGCATTAGTCTATGTGCAGTGTTGAGTCTGTGGGTAGCGTTAGTCTATGGGCAGTGTTGAGTCTGTGGGTAGCATTAGTCTATGGGCAGTATGTATGTTGAACTTCTTTCACATGGTACGCAGCCAACCGTGCTAATCCGAGGTGTGGGAGAAGAACGTCTAAAACATAAAAAAACAGTTTTAAAGAAATTCGTTTTCAATCTAGATTATTTAAAAGTGCATAGCTCCAGTGGCTTCCTAATATTGGACGGAAGGGCGTTCCGGACGGCTGCAGAAGCGGCGCATCTGAAAGCGCCGCACGATGCGGTGACAACAAATCTATTATTGCATCGTACCATGCTCTGACGTGCCCTGGTCCAAGCTCCCCACCTGCACCATCCCGTTCTAAAATATAATTTTCTTTCAGAAGGAATTTCCCGTTTTAACTCGACCACTTTTTACCAAACCCCCCCCCTCCCGCCCATTGTCATCGATGCAAAGCGCCTTTGAGGTTTGACGACGAAAGGCGCCGCTACAGAAGCTGCGACCGTCGTCGTAACGTCACCACCACCGTGGCGGTGACGGCGCTCGCTGCTGCTGCTGCTGCTGCTGCTGCACCTCTGTCCGAACATCAGCGTGGACTTGGTCTCCGCCTCGCTGCTGGCGCAGGGCGAGCAGCAGATGATGATGGTCGTGCGGCAGTTGCCGCCCAGCGAGTCCTTGAGCACGCGAGTCATCTTGCTGTCGCGGTACGGCACGTACGCCTTCTGCGCTCCGCGGAAAGAGCGGCAACAATGTACGTGGATTTGCGTGAGCGTTGAACTTGCACCGTATGCCGATCGGAGTGTTGCGACCGTGTCCATCGGAGTGTTGCGACCGTGCTAACCGGAGCCGCGAGAAGTACAAAGATCCCCCCTTCGTATACTCTGTAATAGAGGCGAGTGAGACTGTTAGCGAGCACCTATGAAGGCCGTCACGGCACACGAGGGGGTGCGTCGTGGCCAGCACCATGCCCGACCGCTTTTGACTCCCCGAGCGCGCGATGTTCACACACCGCACCAGGTACTCATTTAAGGCCGAGTCGACCGATGGGAGGCTCAGGGCAGTTTCAGATACTCGTCACCGTTGTTGGCCGTGAATGGGAACCCAACTCGGGTCGCTGGGTTCTTGGTCCAGTGCGCTAATCGCTACACTACCGCGCTCGCCATAGCAGTGGCGATTTAATAACCCCACACGGTCATTAAAGAGACTCTCCCCCCCACTCCGTCTGCTCAAAACCAGCAATGGACTAGTGCCCCTTAAACCATTGGAACAGCAATGGGGAATTCCACATCCATATGGGACGTTTACGTCTCTCAATAGGAAATTAAATATGCAATTCCTATTAACCCTGTCCCGTTCCGATGACGTGCGTGTGTACGTCATTCAAACGGAAACGGATATGTTTTTTTTACATATAAATACTTTATCGGTACCGAGTCTCCCACAAGGCCATTACGGCAGGGCATGTGGCACAGTTTGGCGCCAGCTATCATAGTGCGGTCGTGTCGCTACAGTTGTCTGCGGCGAGTACATCGTCGTTAAAAACGACGGCGCTCCGCCACCCCTCTAAATATAATGAACTGCCCGCGCGTTCCGAGATTCAGCGGTGAACGGGCGAGACACCCACCCCGCAGTCGCCTCGGGACCGGAAAGGGTTAAGTGGCACTTATTTTTAGGCAAAGAAAAAATGTCGCGCTTGATTTCTCGCTCAGTATCCCCCCGGCTGGCTGTTTGGGCCTGATTAGACCACGTGTCACCCCCTGCCCTCACCGTCGTCACTGCTGAAAGGGGGTAAAGGAAGGGGACCAACGGGAGGCTCACGTTTCCCTCGGACAGCGCGGATATGACGTTGCCCAGCGCCGACAGCGACTTGTTGATGTTTTTCGCTTCGTCCAGCAGAGCTCCCTCGGCTCCCGTCTTGCTCACCTGCGGTCGAGACGCCACGGGGCACAGGCTCGGCGTTCAGCGGCACACGAGAGAGAGAGAGAAAAAAAAGCGACGCTCGCTCTATAAACTATCCCATTCCCCTGCCCATCGGTTTAATTGCAAGCGTGCAGTTCTCTCGTAAAGCGCCGTTAATAAAAAAGGATCGGCGTTGTAAAATAAGAGGGCGGGGGGGAGGCGTTCACCTTCTCGCTGCCGGCGAGATCCACCAGGTAGAGCTTCCCGCTGAGCTTGGTCTCCGTGAGGATGTTCTCCTGCTTGACGCTGATCAGGAACACGCAGTGGCTTCGCGAGCTATGCTCGTTCATGTCTGCGGCAGGCGGAGGGAGAAAAAAATGTAATCCGTAAAAACAAAGTTTTTCACTATAAATCTTTATATGCGTGGCGGCTAGAGCTCTCGTCCTCTGGCTTGAGATGGCTGCCACCTATGGGTCAGATGATTGCCTGCCACCATTAAGCAATTGGTAATTAAATATAATACATTTTTTCCTAAAAAGTGTCAAATTTTGGATTTCACGAAAACAAATTGTCACGCACAACGAGTCTGTGTGCAAAATGTCAGCTCGATTGGATCACGGGAAGTGGGTTAAAAAACGACCGAAAGATTTGCACGGTCGTAAGCGTGCAAGCAAGCAAGCAAGTGAACTTAATATAAAGGATTTAAAAAGGAGTGGGCCCAACCAAGTCACTTGCGGTCGCTCACCCGCGCGGTTGGCATACGTGGGCAAAAGGAGTGAAACGTACGCGTGTACGTACGTACAGTATGTATGTATGTAGAGCTTATTTCGCACCGCCGTATGTAGCCAGCCGTGCTAAATGGAGGTGCGCGGGAAGGACAACAAACTAACCAGGAAAAGCAGTTCTAAAGAAATTAATTCTCATTTCTTTACGGAATTTTTTTTCCGTATATTTAGAAGTGTGAGGGCAAGTCGTGCAGCAGGGTGGCACAGTGGGTCGCACTTCTGCGTGGCAGCACGGAGAGCCAGGGTTCAATTTCTGACTCGGGTGCCTTCTGCGTTTGTAAGGTCTCTCTCCCCCCGTTCTGCATAGGGGCTTCCTTGGAGTTCTCCGGGTTTCCTCCCATAGCTGAAGAAAGTCACACGATTTAACTGGCATTGGGCCAACATCCCAAACGCTGAGAAATGACCCCGCGGATTCCTCGAGTGAGACTGCACCCAGCGGCATCGCCCCCCCCACCCCCATTGTGAAACCCTCCCGTGAGCGAGCGTCGAGAGTCGTCCTTGGTGAGCGAGCGCACCGATAGCAACGAGCCCGATTACAACGAGAAATCCCTCTCACTTGTGACGGACACGTGCCGGTTCGACTTCCCCTCGTCCACGATGTCCATCACCTCCTCCGGACTGGAGACGAACCTCTCCGTGCAGCCCTGTGCAGCGCGGGAGGGGCCCCCCGCGTCGCCGGCGTCACCACGCATCGGCGTTTGGTCACGCGCACAAAACACACGTTTGGCTTCTGTTTAACACCACGCAGGCTTTCGCGACGAATATTGTCTACAATAAAAAAAATTTCGATTTAAAGCTTTCGTGACTGCAGGGATTCATCTTCTTGGTTCTTTCGGTAAAGTCACGTAGAAGGGAAATGGGAAAAAAAAAAGTTTTTTATTATATTATTTTATTATGTTTTATTTTTATTGTTTTATTATTTCCCTTCTACGTGACTTCACCGAAAGAACCAAGAAAATAAAAAAAAAATTTGGGGGTTAGATCGCGTAAATATTGTGTCGTTAAACCCGCCCACCGCCCGACACAGACAATTAGTGATGTGACAATTGGTTACTGCTTCAGCACACCGGTGTGTTGGAGAGCACACGTGGCTTCAGCGGGGCGCTAGTCTGTCAACAACCCTGAATATGATCCAAGTCATCAACAGGTCTCCCTCTGCTCATTGGCCGTGTATTCCTTTGCCGAGCAAGACATCATCTGTACATTTGTCCATCCGTCCCTATCTCCCTCCAGCCAGCCAGCAAAACTTTCTTACAACGCAGTACGACGACGATCCCCACTTGCGAGTCGGGCGGCCACCACCACCACCACAGTTGATGATTACATTCTCACCGATAAATAAATCCACAATATCAGGCGGCGCAGCTGCGAGACCACTTAATGCGCAATCTGTTGAATTCAAATTTCAAATCCTGGTGAACAGCGTTGAGGTGACGCTCTCCATTCAGCGTGTCCGCACCTCCGTTTAGCACAGTTCGCTATGTACGGTGCGAAAGAAGTTCAGCATTCATACATGCTGCCCATATAGACTCAACATTGCCCACAGACTCAACACTGCACCTCCGATTAGCACGGTTGGCTACGCACGGTGCGAAAGATGTTCAACACACATACATTCACCCACTTTCCAGATCAGGTCTGCACCCTCTCAACAAAACCTAAATTTGCATTCTGAAAAATGAAAACTTTTTCTGCTTCTCTGGTCCATTACTCTTTCCCTGTAGCTGTGTCGGTTGTAGATTCATAATCAGAACGACAAAATAACTTTCAATCAACCTACACCATTTTAATGCGATGGTATGTGACGTTACCTTGACGTAGGGAACCCTGTTCTTGTCCTCGTGAACCAACAAGTTCACCTTTTCCACTGCCGTGAGAATGCGCACGCACGCAGAGGCATGCGTGTCATTGTAGCTCAGGAAATGAACGGCGCAAGGCAAATTATATGAGGCTGCAAAATTAAATGACCGCACGCAGGCAAGGATGCAATGGATCCGTTGTACACAAGTGAGATTTCGATTTAAAGCTTTCGTGACTGCAAGGATTCATATTCTTGGTTCTTTCGGTATAGTCACGTAGAAGGGAAATAATAAAATAATACAAATAAAACATACTATCATTTTATTTTTATTATTTTATTATTTCCCTTCTATGTGACTTTACCGAAAGAACCAAGAACACAAGTGAGATTGTGGCTTACCGTCTAAGAGGTCTCGGATTTTATCCAAGTATATTTCAAAGTAGGAAACCTACAGTCAGAATAAAAAAAAACATTTGATGTGAGCACATTTAAATATTCATATCCAACACTCAAAACACTATTTAATGATGTGCAATCCACGTATATATATATATATACACACATGGCTGAACATGGCACAACTTGTTTGTGAAGAATTGTCCAAAGCCCTTCGTTTAATTTGTGCAGTAATTGGTGACCAGTTTGGGACACGAATAACGGTTGGCCACGGTGAAAATGTTCACTGCTTGCCCCGGATTCTCATCTTGGGTGGCTGGCTGGATTCAAACGAAGGCTTTTAGTGGTGCCGGCTCAGGTCATACTGGACACGTGTGAAAAAGAGAATCACAGCTCATCAGATTTCTCCTCCGGTATAAAATACTGATTCTGATTCTGAGGCCTCTGGCAGGACGCAAGCCCTCCCCCCGAGCTGCCCGACCACCTCTGAAATGTCAAAACGACGGACCGTAATAATCACGGTAAAACCATCACGTAAATTGACGCACTCGCTTGCAAAGCACGAGCAACCATGAGATGCTGCAGAGAGAGAGATTTGCGTGAACATTAAAACGGAAAATGCAAAAGGGAAATGCAAATGAACGTAAGAAAAATTGCACAAAACAAGCTTTGGCTTGCAGCGAAGAAATCGGCTCGCGTGCAGCTACTCGATGGATCGCTCCATTGTAGAACCGTGAGAGATGGCGACGGCCTTCATCCAGCAGCGGATTGATCATGGCTGATGAATAAGATGGCGACGTATGTACGTGTGTTGAGCTTCTTTCGCACCGTACGTAGCCGACCCTGCTAATCAGCGGGTGCAACGATGAAGCTTCCTGCATCCTCGCTGCCACCCGCAAGGTTTTCATTTCGCTCTTTTCCCCGTCACCTCGTGGCTGACCCGCCGCATGGCGAGCGATCGAGCGAGCGACAGAGCAAGCGAACGGGGCGGCAAGTTATCGGGAGGGGGCTGACCTTGATGTGGAACTCCAAGTGCTCGTCCATGGAGTAAATGTAGTTGAAAATGTCCCGCGCAATCCTCGGAATGATGCCCATGAGCTCCGGGTCGTTGAGGTCTCCCTGAACGCGACAAACAAACAACGGCCGAGACGTCAGCGTGCACTACACAGCAGAGCTGTCGTCACGCCGACTCAAACATGCGTAGCCGTGTCATTGAAAAGAATCCTGTGATTTGGATAATAGAGTGAGCGAAATACCGCGCGGTACTGCACCACATATCCGACAGTCACATATCAGTCCTGGCCAGTCAACCCGCCGAGACCCAGTTGGAGTACTTATCTGTGATGTAATTTGCGATATATTTTTTACTTATAAAGTGCAGTGAAAGTAATTTTCACACATTTATTTTGATCCAGTAGCGGATGTGTGAATGCTCTGTCATTTCCCACAGGTGGTCACATATCCGGCTGTACTGCAGTCCCCAACGAGTCAGATACGCCACGTAGCGGTTTATAATATGTATTGTAAAAAACACATAGTGTCAGCTGGTAACTTATGCTGGCTAATGCACAGATGTGAAAATGTATGGGCAAGACGAGAAAAATACTAAATAATAGTAATACAGTATTCTATCGTTATTCATAAACTTGCTACCCGCAATTTTGGTTATCCTCGAATCGTATCTGGAACTCTACACTACTGCATCAAGAGAGGGAGAGAAAAATAAGATGATGATATAAAGTGATGAGAGATAAAGTGATGAGAGAGCATGCGATGCGAGAATGTGACGAGATAAAGTGATCAGATAATTTTCATGTATTGAATAGCTTATTTACGTATTTATTTAACGTAATTAATTAAAAAGAAAGATTTTCGTCGGCCAATATCATTTTCCGCAAAATTTTCCTGAAACGAGCATCTCCGGAACGTACCACTCGCGAATAACGAGGGAATAACGGGAGTACAACTCTAAGAACGAACGTTACCACAAACAAACAAAATTTGCGATTCGAACGCTTCGGCAGCATTCACACTGCGATGGAACTGGACGAGACGCATTGCGAGGGGACAATTTGCCCCATAGCTAAAATAATCTGGGACGAAAATGAACATTCACAAAACACAGGCATTCATTCGGGTCCATAGCCAGTCCTCACAGACGGGTTCAATTAAATGAACTTGAACGTGCATTACTCTACTAATCCGGAAGCCTGAATTCAGTCTCCGTGCTTTTTAAATCCTTTATATTAAGTTCACTTGCTTGCTTGCTTGCGCGCTTACGACCGTGCAAATCTTTCGGTCGTTTTTTAACCCACTTCCCGTGATCCAATCGAGCTGACATTTTGCACACAGACTCGTTGTGCGTGACAATTTATTTTCGTGAAAATTTTTTTCCCAAAATTTTCCACTTTTTAGGGAAATTTTTTAATCCTTTATATTAAGTTCGCGTGCTTGCTTGCTTGCTTAGGACCGTGCAAATCTTTCGGTCGTTTTTTAACCCACTTTCCGTGATCCAATCGAGCTGACATTTTCCACACAGACTCGTTGTGCCAGACAATTATTGTTGTGAAAAAAAATTCCCAAAATTTTACACTTTTTAGGCAAAAAAAAATTATTTTACATATATTCAAATAGAACGCATTCATGGCTTTGGCTGAACGTCAGAGTGTAAGAGCCCAGAGCGTAACCCCTCCACAGGCCGTGGTGGAGTAGCGCAGTTGGTAGCGCCCTCGCTTCCATGCCAAAGGTCGCGGGATCGATCCCCGCGTCCTCCACAGGCGAATATATTTTTAAATCCTTTATATTAAGTTCGCTTGCTTGCTTAGGACCGTGCAAATCTTTCGCTCGTTTTTTAACCCACTTCCCGTGATCCAATCGAGCTGACATTTTCCACACAGACTCGTTGTGTGTGACAATTACTTTTCGTGAAATTTTTTTCCAAAATTTTACACTGTTTAGGGAAAACAAATTAAATATTTAATTACCAATTGCTTAATACTGGCAGACAATCATCTGACCCATAGATTGCAGCCATCTCAAGCCAGAGGACGAGAGAACTCTAGCCGCCACGCATATAAAGGATTTAGAGTGAAAAACTTTGTTTTTACGGGTTACTTGTTTTTCATATTTAATTAAAAAATACCAATGTGATAAAAATGAAACTCTTACTCAAGAAAAACAGAAATGAATAATAAAATAAAACCGATGCCACGCATATAAAGGATTTATAGTGAAAAACTTTGTTTTTACGGGTTAATTTTTTGCAATTCAAATGTTGTCCCCCAACCCCCCATGCCTCAGATTAGCACGGCTGGCTACGTATGGTGCGAAAGAAGCCCAACATACGTACGTGCTACATACAAACACCGGATGAGCACTCTGCCAAACACAGATTTGCGTGGGTTGACCAATTTTGACCTTGGCTGAAACGTGCCGCACGATACACAAGAAGGGCCCTTCACGCGGAGGTCACCCCCCCCCCCCCGCAGGCGACCGGGCCTGGCGATGTGAGATCGGGGGACGAGAGACTTTCCATCGCGTAGCGGCATTCCAGGCATGCTCGTGTGCCGTCGAAACCGACGTCGGAGTGTGAGAGTGTACACAACGTGCACGCGTACAGCCCTTGGGGCAATCCGCTGCTGGATGAGGGCCTCCCCATGCCGTGCGAGGCCATGGGAGGGGGGGGGGCGGGGTTAAGCACTATACTTCACCATGCTGGTGAAGCTGGGGGGGAGCCTTGGACGTGGCAGCATAGAAGTACCGTGGACAAAAACTGCCTAAATTTCGATTTAAAGCTTTCGTGACAGCAGGGATTCATCTTCTTGGTTCTTTCGGTAAAGTCACGTAGAATAGAAATAATAAAATAATAAAAATAAAAATTCTATTAACTTTTTATTTTATTTTATTATTTCCATTCTACGTGACTTTACCGAAAGAACCAAGAAGAAGAAAAAAACTGCCTATATAATGAAATCCATTTACAGATACCCCACTCATAAAATAGGAATACATTGCGTGTAGAGAAAGCAATCTTAATTTCAAAGCCTCGTCTCCGAAACCAATCTCAATGCACTTGTTGAATCGTTGTTAACGCCTCTCTCTCTGTAATCCGTGAAGCATCGCCTTTACAACACTGTTGAGAGTGAAGTTATTAGAAATCAGTGGGGTATCTATAAATGGATCGCCACGTACGCTATAAACAACTTTAACCCAAAGGGTGCCTCAAGCCTAACAACCGTGAATAGGTGACTTAACAAACAAACAAAAAATCTACATCTGTTTTTTTATCCAACAGTTTATATCGGACGCCAGAAATGCTCTGCATGAACAGCCAGTGTTTCAATTGAGGCACAACCACCACCCACCCACACTCAAAACATAACGGCTCATTATGTGTGTTTTTACGAGTACTGTACAGAGAGAGACTTTCTGCCACACCAAAGTATTGCGCCAGCAGCTCTGCCCCGTGCACACGCAACGTGTTATCGGATACTCCGTGCCCATGGACAGAAATAGCGGTCAAGTGCGGTCTTCAATGGCAGCGCCACTTTATTCTAAATGTCAGGCTTTCCTTCCATCAGCCGCGGCGGATTACCCCGGCCCCAGACGTATTGCTGCGCACGATTCGTTTACTCTGCGAGCATCTCCGGAGACGGGCAAACAACAGCTGAAGAGAATGGGAGAATACTTGGAGCAGCAGCAGCTGCCACAAGGGTTCGATTCAAGGGTACCGAATGAACCAAAACCATTAAAGAGAATTCGCTTTAACAAGCCAAAACGCCTCTCCCACCCAGTCAAAGTCAATATAATATCCTGTTCAAATGCGGATTGAGGTGGTACTTATCTTCAAACCCAGTTCTGAACCCGAAGTGGAATTTACACTCTCCTATGATAGGAGCGAGTTTAATCCATAGGACGACCGTCATTGCATGTATGTACGTTGAACTTATTTCGCACCGTACATAGCCAACGGTGCTAATTGGGGGGTGTCGACAGCCTGGCAATCATGTTATCGACCCCGGAGGGACGATGGGCTCAGTTGAACCTCCCAACCACGATTTGAACTCGCAATCGTTCCCGATTGTGAGCCGCCTCAATGCTCATTCGAGCAGGAAATTGCTTGGATTTAACAACATTCGTTCGTTCTATTGCGACACAGCGTCCTGCTGCTACGGGTGACGTGACGGGGCCTTCTGCTGCCCTGCATGGGCTAGCAAGGCCCCCGGCATTACCACTGTTGACGATGTGGAACTTAATCTCTGGACCCTGCATGGTAAGCCAGCTCGCAAGTCGGTGGCGATCGTGCCATCACCACGTCGTAGGCTGCACGCAAATCGGTGAACCTGACCCGAGCAATTTCATTAATTCGGACAATGTCCAAAATGTATGGAAGCGCAAGGCCACCGCCACCACGACCACCTGGGAGACCGACACACGGTGAGAGAGCCTGTGCCCTTGGATGCGTCATTAACTTTCAACTGCAAGATCCGACCGTGTCCGTCCGGCGCTCGCAGAGCTGCATTTGCTTCTGGTTGACAAACGAATACATATTCTTGGGTTTTTTCGGTAAAGTCACGTAGGTAAAAAATTAAAATAATAAAAATAAAATTTCAATAAAATAAAAAATCACGACGTTTCGGAGGCAACACAAGCTTCCGTCTTCAGGTGGAACCGTCACAGCACGCTTGCTGTATCAAGTAAATGAGAAATTCTAAGAGTCTTGACCCTGTATATATACTGGTTGAGGGGGGAGGAGCCAGGACAGGCCCCCTTTTTATTATTATGGTAAGGTTGGTGCGGCTGAAACTACGGCTAGTCTACTTTTATTAATTTTAATTTTTTACCTACGTGACTTTACCGAAAAAACCCAAGAATATGAATCCTTGCAGTCACGAAAGCTTCAAATCTAAAATGAATACATTACAAGGTTGCACTCATTACGCACAAAGTGCCTCACACAAATGAACCACGATACCTTGCCGATCTCTTCAAGGAGCATAAACCATCACGCGAACTCCCGTCATCCTCGCAGCGGCTTTTGGGTAACCATCGAACAAAGACGGTCACTGCATAGAGCGTTTTCAAATGTGCGTCTGCGGCCATCTGGAACGCTCTTCCTTCCTATATTAGGAAGCCCCTGGATATATGCGCTAGATTAAAAACTAATTTCCTCAGAACTGCTTTTTGTGTTTAGTTTGTTGTCCTTCCCCCAACACCTCCGATCAGCACGGTTGGCTACGTACGGTGCAAAAGAAGGTCTGCAATACATACAACCAAAATATATCACTCGTTTAAAAATACATAAATTATTACTTTCCGTCCCCTCCACCCCGCAAAACTATCTATTTTAGCCCCCACGAAGCATTATTTTCACCTGTCGCCCGTGCGGTGCCCCACTTTCCCGTGCGGTGCCCGTTGGCCATTGGTATTTTTGCCTTGTGACCATCTACGACAGCTGTCGTGGGACGGCGGCTCAATCGGCTCGTCAGCGGAGACGCACGCGGCGTTCATTCCAGACAAAGTGGTGGCGTAACGCGCGCAGTGCGCGCGTGTGCGATGCGTTCTCCTTGGCTGCCAGGCGGAGAGGCAGGGCTTGTCAGGACGTGAAACGTACGTGGTTTGTTTTGACTTGACGATTTTTGCTTACCCACTGAGCTATGTAGCCATTTTTCCAGAAGCGACCTGGCTATCACAAATGATAGCTCAACGAAGCAGCTTATCACATTAAAATGAATAGCAGCCAACATTATAAACGCATGTTAATTCTAAATTTGGAGGGAAAAACCAGAGGACCTGGAGAAAAATTACGGGCACCTAACTCGCTACACACGGGAATCTAACTCACTACACACTCGAATCTAACTCGCTACACATGGCCACCTAACTCACTACACACGGGAATTTAACGCGCTACACATGGGCACCTAACTTACTACACACAGGCACCTAACTCGCTACACACAGGCGCCCCAGTGCGATCTCGAGTTGCATGCTGGGGGTTTAACGCCTGAGAGTGATCGCCTCGATTTTCCAATGTGGTTTATCCCAACCATGACATCGGCCTCACGTTTCATTTGAACTCTTGCAGAGCAGAGCAACCCTTCTGTGTGAGACAACGGCCCTCGGTCGCGGACACTCCAGCGGAGATATCCTTGCAGAGCTTTCCCACCTGCACTGCCGCCGAGACCACTCCTCATCGCACGACAGTCAAACCACTCGACATTCATTCCCAGCTATTCCCATAGCCGTAATGTCACCGAATTGAGTACGGGACAAACTTCTACCCGATGGGTTTTTTTCGCGTACGATCCTTGCGGTTACTCAGGCCGAGGACGTGAAATCGCTGCGTAGGTGGCAACCTGGATTTACAACCAGCTATCCAGCAATGCCAGAGACATATGTATGAAGTACGAAGAGAGAAAAATGATACCTCCATCGTGTGAGTTTTTCCGGACGATGTCTGACCGTAGGCGAATATCGTCCCATTGTAGCCTTCCAGGACATCTGCAATGACACGTTTGTTTGGCTTAGGAATGTTGAATGCAACGCTTAGGAATTGTTTGACGTCACAGCGTTCTCCAATGCATTGGCAAGCGGGCGTGTCGACATCGCCCAACAGTTGGCGCACATGTTCAAATGTTTAAAATATCATCGGCACAAGCCTATTGGCCCAATAGTATAAACGGGTATACAAGAATTTTGTTTTAAAGCTTTCGTGACTGCAGGGATTCATATTCTTGGTTATTTCGGTAAAGTCACGTAGAAGGGAAATAATAAAATAATATTGATATAAAACAATAAAAATTCTCACGACGTTTCGACTGCAACACAAGCAATCATCAGGTGTGAAATCCACAGCAAGAAAATTTTCTTGGGAAATCCACAGCAAGAAAAATTTCTTGCTGTGGATGTCACACCTGATGATGATTGCTTGTGTTGCAGTCGAAACGTCGTGATAATTTTTATTGTTTTATATTTATATTATTTTATTATTTCCCTTCTACGTGACTTTTTCCAAAAGAACCAACAATAGGGTATACAAGAAGTGATTTGACCGTCGTTGGTGGGTCGCATGTGGTGGGGTAAAGTGCGAGTGCTCCCAACAAGTCCAAACGTCTGGCCAGCTCTGAAGAGGAGTGGAAGTTTCTTCTCTGGTGGTGCTGTCTGGATCGCCCTCTAGTGGAGGCACTGCCCCCAGCAGTGACGTGAGCGAGCACTTGCAGGGCTGCGCCTTTACATCGTGGCTACAATGCAGTGTTCAATTGGTAGTTTAATTTTTTTTTTAAATCTGTTTATATATTAACTTTGCCGTGTTTCATGCAAATTTACGAGCGACGGCGCCAACGTAAGTCATTCATTATCACAGACAATTGCGGTAACGGCCACACGATTTGAAAAGCTATGCGAATATATAAAGAAACGGCGATCCATTTATTGTTATCAGGTGTGTATATATAGATATAGAATTCTCCTCTTCTTACTTTATCATCAACATCGGTGCGGTGATCCACCACAACCTTCGCCGCCTCCGGTGCCGGATTACAGACACACGCCACCGTCCACGTGTATAGTAGTCAATGCATCATCCGGTACTTTTAAGATATATGCCCACAGCTTACGCAGGCCCATATATTTTGCACGGTGCGCCGTCAAGTGAGGAATTGCAAGCTCGGACAAAAAATAAAAATAAAAAGCTAAATAATTCACCGGTAATTAGTGAGCGATTCGGTCGAACGAGCAGCGACCGGCCTTTGTTTTTAATGGCAGTCACGAGATTCGAACGTGAGAAAATGGGGTGGTTAAAAAGAGTGCGAGCCCGCGTGGCCACAAGTTTAACCTTTTACGATTGCTCGGGCACACGCGTTGTAAACTTGCTCTTGCATGGCCTCCGAGGAGAAGACTCGGTCGAAGACGAACGGCTTCCCCTAAGGTGGGCGGTGGGAGAGACAGAGACACAGAGAGAGGAAAATACACAAACACATGTTTAAAATCAAGACGTACAAACAGTCCTTTCATTGTCGTGCATTTAGTTTGTTGTCCCCGCACCTCCAATTTGCACGGTTGGCTATGTACGGTGGTGTTAAAGAAGTTCAATGTACACACATACATGTCGTGTACATACATACATCGTAAGGGGCTACTTTAAAATTTTATTTTTTACCTACGTGACTTTACCGAAAAAACCTAGGAATATGAATCCTTGCAGTCACGAAAGCTTCAAATCTAGAATTACTTTAAAATACTTCAGCACGCTGGTCAGTGTGGGTCGGTGAAGGAGGTGGTTCAGGACCGGTTCAGGTATAACTCTACCACAAAGTTTTAGCCACAGCCCTGGGAATCAAAATCAAGTAGCTGGGCTTGACAGCGCTTTGACCTTACTTCCCCATTCTGGGCAATGTGGGTTGGTCAACGGGTGGGCCAAGACCAGTTCAGATATTCCTTTGCCACTTTTGTTCGCCTTGGCCTGGACTCCAACTTGGATTCGCCGGGTTCAAAGCGCAGTGCGCCAAGCACTATCCTCAAGTTCCACAAAATCTAGGACTCAAATTCAGGTAATCCCTCTAATTCAACTCGCCGCTCTAATAATGCTCATGACAAGGTCTTCTCACCTCAAAGCTAAACATCTCTTTGATGGAATTGGCCAAACACCCCGATGCAGGACCCTCCTGAAAAAGTCTTCAGAATCGGTGGGAATTTCCTGGACAAGCAAATGTCTGTAGTATTATTATTATTTCAAGATGAACTGCTGGGCATTACAAATTGTACACTATGTGCAATACGCAAGTACAGACGCTGCAGAGCCATTGCCTTTGGGTAGATATTGTTTGTAATAAGACGGCCAAACAATTCTCTCATAGTTGCTGCGCGGGAGATGCGTGCGGTGGCTTGTGAAAACGCCCAGGCAGATGCCTGGGTTGTGGTGTCACGCTCGGGAGGGCAGCTATTGCAAGCACTGCCGAATGCAGCACAGTAATGTCTGAATTTAGCACACAACTGCTACCCGACACATCCTGACATCTTCAAGTGAAAAAAATGCCTCCCTGGCCAAGAACTCAACATTTCCACCACTGGCTTCAGAATCACTAACGCAGTTGAGCACAAATTAGAGTATTCGCTCAAGGCCTGCATGAGACTGTTGGGGCAAGTGCTGTAATAGCGAGCAGCACCTACGAAGGCCGGCACGGCACACGAGGGGGCGGGTGATCAGCACCACCATGCCCGGCTGTCTCCCCAGTGACGATGTTTACACTCCGCAACCGGTACTCATTTGGGGCAGAGTCAACCTAGGGGAGGCCCAGGACAGTGTTCAGATAATCGTCACTGGAGTTGACCGTGAGCGGCAATCAAACTCCGGTCGTTGGGTTCCTAGCCGCTACACTACTGCTACCCCCCAACTGAGTGCACACACACACATACACGTGTGTGTGTGCACGTGAGGAGCAGATGGAGTACACGGTGCGCGATTGCTACATCTCACACAGTGCTACTCTCTGTCTCTTGTGCAGTACTATTGCAGCGTCCGCATTGACAATTGGTTCTTGTGTTGCACTCCGTTTTCGAGCAAGCGCAAAATTATTCACAGTTTCCCATTGCAAACTGCCAATAGGCCGGTTTGACTTAAAACCTATTGTTATTTGTGTGTGTGGAGACACAGAAGGAATTAATTCTAGATTTGAAGCTTTCGTGACTGCAAGGATTCATATTCTTAGGTTTTTTCGGTAAAGTCACGTAGGTAAAACATTAAAATTAATAAAAGTAAAATAAAATAAAAATCACGACGTTTCGGAGGCAACACAAGCTTCCGTCTTAAGGTGGAACCGTCACAGCCACGACAGCTGTATCAAGTAAATGAGAGATTCCAAGAGCTACCACTCCGTATATATAATGGTTGGAGAGGGGGAAGGGCCAAGTACGGCACACTTTTATTCATATGGTAAGGTGAGGCTTAAGAGGGTGAGCCTTTGTTATGGAGAGGTACGGTTTGTGGCAAAGCCAGGCCTACATTATAGTGTGAAAAAAGAAACAACTAAACATGGTAAAACAAGCCTGGCTGTCTATCAATAACCTGTAATAGTTGTCTGTCAAATAAGATTGGCCAAATAAGTGTAGTTAAATCTTTTTTGCATGGTTAATCACATCTTTCCAATGATTACTCAGTTTGTAACCATCATCACGGTTGAAATTATGTCTGTTTGTATATTTGTATGGCTTCGTGTACAAACCTTTGATGGTAGCCAGGAGGTTTGCAGAGAACCTTGGTCTCGGAAAAGACAATTTCATGAGAGCCCACCGAGTTGTAGCAATGATCGGCAACGGCCGAAGAATCAGTTCTGCCGTGTTTCAGATCTGACTTGTGCTCGCGGACACGATCAGAAACATGACGTTTCGTTTCTCCAATGTAGCAATCACCACGAATGCAACTCAATTTGTAGACTCCAGGATACTGTAAGTCAGGAACGACATCCTTCACAGATGGAATCAGATCACGGATTTTATGCACTGTACTGAATCGGACTTGGATATTATGTTTGTTTAGAATTTTGGAGATCTTTTTGGTCACGCCTGCTATGTATGGTAACGTGATGATGGTTACAAACTGAGTAATCATTGGAAAGATGTGATTAACCATGCAAAAAAGATTTAACTACACTTATTTGGCCAATCTTATTTGACAGACAACTATTACAGGTTATTGATAGACAACCAGGCTTGTTTTACCATGTTTAGTTGTTTCTTTTTTCACACTATTGTTATGTAGGCCAGGCTTGCCACAAACCGTACCTCTCCATAACAAAGGCTCACCCTCTTAAGCCTCACCTTACCATATGAATAAAAAGTTGTGCCGTACTTGGCCCTTCCCCCTCTCCAACCATTATATATATACGGAGTGGTAGCTCTTGAATCTCTCATTTACTTGATACAGCTGTCGTGGCTGTGACGGTTCCACCTAAGACAGAAGCTTGTGTTGCCTCCGAAACGTCGTGATTTTTATTTTATTTTACTTTTATTAATTTTAATGTTTTACCTACGTGACTTTACCGAAAAAACCTAAGAACACAGAAGGAAGTTTTGCGTTCAAATGTATTGTTGTGATTATCTCAGCAGGCACATCTGGGTAGAAATGTGTTCCAAATAAAACACCATTCTCGGCTTGACAACGGATTTGGCCTTCTACTGGTTCCTTGGGTCCTTACTAAAAGCATCTTCTACCCACAGCACATACACATTTTCACGTATAGAGAGCGGTTGGGTTTTTTGCACGTTCATGAGGATTATCCTACGGCGCCACTGGTCCCATCCAAAGTAATGTGGAACTTCCATTGCTGACTCGGGACATTACTCGATGTAGTGGCACGAACACTCGCTCACTTTGCCTCGACGATATTTGCATTCTCCGTGCATACACGTGTATATTTTTTTCGCGATACTACAACGCCGTGAATGTTTTGCGTGCAAAGTACAGAACAGGGAGGGGGGTGGGCGTGGGAGCGGTGGCAGAGAGGTTAGTGCCACTGTGCTATAAACCAAGACACCCGAATTGGATACCCAAGTTCGACAACCGGGTTCGATTGCTAGCATCAGAGGGCGAGCGATATCCGAACCGGTCCTGGTCCAAATCTGCACTGACTAGCGTGGTGAAGTATGGTCAAACGACCCCGATCACGGATCATTCGGGAGTGCAGGGGGTTGCCTTCATCCAGCAGTGGCTTGTCAAGAGGGCCGCGCTCACATCGCGCAGCACGGAGAACACACGGCATAAACTTCACGTGTAAATGTTTTATACTTGAAGTATGGTGCGTGATGCAACGTTTCATAAAAGTTTACAGCTCTGAGTGCCACTTTTGCCGACAGTGGGTTTTTTTTTGTCCACTCACCTCCAGATGGGTCATAGCTAAACTGTGATGATAAAGATCCACAAACAACAATTCAACGTAATGTACCGTCGTTTATGAATCCACTACCGGATGCCGGGCCTCCCCTAGATCACGGGGGCCGATTTGACCATACTTCACCACGCTGGTCAATGTGAGTTGGCGATAGGGATGGAGAGCAAGGGGAGAGGGCCAGAACCGGCTTAGATTTCCGTACACGACTCCCACCGCCGTGGCTAGGAGTCGAACTCAGGCCGAGGCGGGGGCGGGGTGTTCATCATGCAGCGCGCTAACAGCTGTATCAAAGCTCTCGCCCTATGAAACAAACAACACGCTCGTCAAGCTGCGCTACCAGCGAGCACACGCTTAGCATCGCGAGTGACAGCTCGCGGGTTGACCTGTCATTCTGGCTCCATGAACATCTCGAAAAACAAACAGCGGAGCCGCCCGAGACCCGGACACGTGGCTCTTCCTGCGACGTCGATCAGCGTCATTGCGATCAGTTCCAGGGAGACGTAACACACTCTTTTGAGCAGCCTATAAAACACCCAAAATGCATCAAAGGGTTTTCAATTCACCATCGGGCCAATGGTCAATCCCAGGGGTCGGTAAACAAACATGACAAGAGGAGCCATATTTGTCCATAATTCAGTAAGAAAATATTTAAAGAGCCGCGATGTGTGTGGATACAAGACGGTGGGGGTCCTTCAATAAATATTGTTACGAGGCAGTCCTTAAAAAATTAACCCGTAAAAACAAAGTTTTTCACTATAAATCCTTTATATGCGTGGCAAATAAATTACAGTACGTGTTCAATGGGCCACAACCCAGCCCACATTGGTCTTTGAAACGGGCGGCTAGAGTCCTCTCGTCCTCTGGCTTGAGATGGCAGTCACCTATGGGTCAGATGATTGCCTGACACCATTAAGCAATTGGTAATTAAATATAATTAATTTTTTCCTAAAATGTTGAAAATTTTGGAAAAAATTTTCACGAAAATAAATTGTCACGCACAACGAGTCTGTGTGCAAAATGTCAGCTCGATTGGATCACGGGAAGTGGGTTAAAAAACGACCGAAAGATTTGCACGGTCGTAAGCAAGCAAGCAAGCAAGTGAACTTAATATAAAGGATTTTAAAAGAGCCGCAAGTCTTCTTGGTTCTTTCGGTAAAGTCACGTAGAATGGAAATGAATTCAGACTGTTTTCTCGACAGACCTGTTCTCCAACTGAGGACGGCTGCTTGCGTTGTCGCCGAAACGTCGTGAGAATTATTTTATGTTTTATTTTATTACTTTATTATTTCCATTCTACGTGACTTTACCGAAATAACCAATAAGATGAATCCCTGCAGTCACGAAAGCTTTAAATCGAAAGAGCCGCAAGGTTGCCGACCCCTGGTCTATCCGCTGCTGGATGATGGCGCCCTTCCCATGCAGTCGCCAAACCTCATGGTCGGGCGATGCAGCAATGAATCCATTTCACCCCCTTGCACACGAATTGTATTCTCCATCGCTCCATCTCCGTGACGGTCATCACCCCCTTCCCCGCGGCTGCATTCCCTCTCATTTGGCTGCCATTCCATCGCTCGTCTTGTACATATGGGGGGCACTGTCGTAGCTTCCGGATTCGCAACCTCTACCTGCTCAGGCTTACACAACCCCAATTCAACACACTCGTGAATACCACTGCCACGTGTGAGCTGCTTTGTTAGTTGTGCTTCTGCACTACTGCCAACACAGCATGAGCATCGCCAAGTGATTGATGCTCACTTATACTGCGATTGAACAATCGATGTCTCCGATTTGCAACCGAGACTCACGGAGGCTTACGTGCATAAATAAAGGGCATTGCTGTTGTTGTTATTGTGCAGTTATTTGGCTGTTATTCCAAGAAGATTTCAATAACCTGCGTGTTGTTTGTTCATCTCGCAAACTTCTGCATTCCAATTAACCACCACGGAGCCAAATGCTTGAACAGCACCAACAATGGCTCAGTTCTGACGAACGAAGCAAAGGATGGCATCAATGAATGCAATCATTTAATAACTAGACGCTTAATTAATGCACGCATTGCACGACGCACATTAAGCGCTGACGAACTACGTTCTTGCGTATGGAAAAAATCCAGGACGTTCAGGAGATCGATGCCTCAATGCCGAGGACTGCTGCTGGTGCTGGCTACGACAAGAGGGCTTAAGCAGAGCGAGAGAGAGAGAGAGTTCGTGTCGTGTCGCTGTTCCTCCTATCCGTTGAAGGAGCGCCCACCGCCACAGTGGCACTAAACACGGTGGGTCCAGTGGCGGCTCCTGCAAAATCTCTCAGGGGGGCAAATGTCTGGATGATTGATAAGGATAAGGTCCACCCATGCAATGAATAAATTAACAGCTTAAGCATGTAAAGGCAACTTCACTTCTTTAATATTAATGAAAAATAAAGTGACTCTTACAATACATCTTGTTTGTTTATATACTCACTATTAAAACAAACCACTCAAGTTTATTTTATTAAAGATTCCACTAGGTAGCGATAAATTATATTGTTGGATGAAACGTGCTTACGTATGATGACGTTAGCACGTATGATGACGTAAGCACGTTAGTGCATGCCCTCCCGGAGCCATAGAGAATGCATTGCAGCGCCCGCCGTTCGAAAAAAAAACATCTTTGAATGTAAGTCTATGGGGCCACTCGGGGCGATTCTCAGCCGGAGTGAAATCGCCCAAAAGAGGCGGTACTCCACAGAACGTGACATGACGCTGATTGGACTATATCCAGAGGCACAGTGACGGCTAGCGTGACTCTGTGGTTGAATGACATTGGTGGTGCGTCGCCCAATCGCCCTAATGAAGAAACCGCCCCTGTGTGGGTCCATAGCTCGAGTTGCATGGACACAGTCGCACTTTTATGACTTGTCCTAGACGAATATCTCGATGTGTTTCGTTGAGTCGTTGGGTCTCTACGTATCTCGATCTTCTTGCGGATGGCGGTACGTTCAGGAGCTGGATTGCCAATGTCGAGGTCCTGCTGCTGCTGGCTACGACAAGAGGGCTTCAGCAGGCCACCGTGTGGCAGAGGTCGCAATCGGGTAACCGATACCCGTACCCTACCCGATACCCGGCTACCCGTACCCGGCCGGGTACGGGTACCCGTTTGCGACCCTGGTGCGGCGGGTACGGGTAAGCCGTGAGTCACTGGTGGTAACCATTTGTCACTCATTTCCCAACGTCTTGTTCTCTTCTCACAATTCAAGTTCCTAGAATCAACCCACCCGTGCCTGCAACATGGATTCATCCCAGAGGTCGCAATCGGGTACCCGTATCCTACCCGATACCCGGCCGGGTACGGGTAGCCGGGTATCGGGTAGGGTACGGGTATCGGGTACCCAATTGCGACCCTGGTGCGGCCGGGTACGGGTAAGGAATCAAAACCTGTTTGCGACCTCTGCCGTGTGGCCACGTGCGTTGCGTGGCCACAGTCGCACTGCATTACATTACGCGTATCGTGCTTTGTTTTTCAGCGTTCCATTGCATTTGCTTAATGATGCGATTGATGAATTAAAGTGTCCAGCGAACGACGCAGATGACAAATGAATGAAGCAACGAAGCGATACATCGATCGCATAATTAAGCGGCTTAGCGATGATTACGTGACAAACGGATGAAGCAACGAATGACATGAACACATGATCAACGAATGGCTCAAGGCGATGAAATAATCTACAGATAAATCGACGGGCGAAAAAGAAGCAACACAATGAAATTCCTAAACGAACAGCTTAAAGCAATTAATGAATCGACGAATCGGCCAACGAATAGGATCAATCAACGAACGAATCGATTAAAATAAACGAATATTATTCTCGCCGTGTGGCTGGATGTGCAGATGCCGATCAACGACCGCGATTTCACATTGAGGTGCAGCGGAGTGTGTATGCAATGAACGAAGCGGTGGACGAACGCCACACGATGGATGAACGAAATGAACGCGGTGCATCCGTGCGGAAGGTGCTCACCCGAACAGCACGGTGTCGCCATCGCCGCAGAGACGAGCCGGACTGGCAGCCGCCGTGTCCGTCTTCTCAGCAGTGCTCCTTGGCCGAAAGCGGCACATCACCTTGATGTTGCACTCGGAGGAGCTGCCCTCCATCGCGACCGGCGACCTGGAGTCCAACCCAGGGCTAACGTCGCGGGCTACAGCCCCAGCGCCAGCCGCCTCTTGGCGTGACACCCCAGATGAGAGCCACTCCAGATGAGAGCTTCGCGTGAGCCGCTTCGATTCGAGTGGTTCGGCTTGACGCGTGGTGCTGCTGCTGGTGGTGCTGGTGGTGGTGCTGCTGCTGGTGGTGGTGGTGCTGCTGGTGGTGGTGCTGCTGGTGGTAGTGGTGGTCGCCTCCCAATGCTACAGTGTGTGTTGAACTTCTTTCGCGCCGTACGTAGCCGACCGACCGTGTTAATCGGAGCTGCGGGGAAAGGGCAATATGAACTAGACACAAAGTCGGAGCGTGTAAGTACATACCGTGTGTGTGTGTATAACGTGTAAGAATGTATGCGTTAATAGTATAGAGACATAATGTAGAGAATAATATGCACGTGTGTGAACAGACTACGTACCTGCTGCTGCTGATAGTGATGGCTTTAAATGGACTTAAAATTTGTTTTTACGCCAGCTAAAAGACAAGCTACGAATTGCTACTGTTGCCTATCCGATGATCAGCGAGATAGATTCTCTAACTCGCAACGCATTGCGAGCGACACGAAGAGATCGTCCAACAACAATAAGATGCAGATTCCGACTGCGTACGCAAGCGGCGTGCCGATGAAAGGCGACACACGGTTACCAAACGAAGCGAGAAACATTCCCGATCTTCTAAAAAAAGGTGTGCAACCTCAAGGTTTATGCTGCCACTGCACTAATATACTTAACTATAGAACAGATAACTTAGCCGTGTATAACCATACTCGGAGCAGTACACGATCAGCTACGGGCCATCGCTGCTAAGCACATGTTGCTAGAACTTTGCTCGACGTTATATACACACACACAGTATATACTTAGAACGTTTAAACTACTACACTAATAATAATACACGTAACCACAGAACCGATAACGTAACAGTGGACACACTAAGAGCTGTTACGCTGTTAAGCATCGGCCCTTCGCTGCTCATACTGTGTCCGGTTTCAATAAAAGTTTTTTTTTTATAAAACGACACCTAACACAGAGAGGTTAACTACAGTCGTGCTAAAGGTTAAAACGTTCTCTTTACAACCACACCAACAACAAAATATTTACAACAAAGAAAATACATCGTCGAGAGCGACGCGGCCGGCATCACGAAGCGCTTTAAAGTTCGCACGAAGAGCGCCGAGCGACGGACTTGGAGAGTCCAAAGGAGACGAGAAATGCGAAACTGCCCGTGGCTGCTGCTGCGGCTGCTGCTCGGGGCTGAATGACTTCAAGCGGCTGCTGCTGCTACTGCTGCCCGGAGTTTATTATAACCCCACACCCCACCACGCACGAAGCACGTGGCTCGCCCACTTCACTGGAACTGGAATTGGCCACGGCACTGCAAGCGAATTGCACCGGAACGAACGGGCGGGGGAGGGCGGCGAGAGGAGTGATTTCTGCAACGCCGCAAGTGGGTGAATTTCGATTATGGTTGAAATAAGTCCAGAATTAGCTTACTTGTTGCTGAAGATGTAGGATGTGTCATCAGTTTGCATTATTTCTTAAAGAATAGGTTTACTTGGCAATAACTATGTGATCACATGGGCAATGAGTCGCTGACCTTCGAGTGAGGAGCAGCTAGTCATCGAACAAAGACGGTCACTGCATGGCACGCTCTGGAATGTGCTGCAGCCGTCTTGAACGCTCTTCCGATATAAGCTATGCACTTTTAAATCTCGATTGAAAACTAATTTCTTTAAAATAGCTTTTTGTATTTAGGTTATTGTCCTTAGCTCGCACCTCCAATTAGCACGGTTGGCTACATACGGTGCGAAAGAATCTCAACATACGTACATGCAAACGAAGCACACTGATAAAAAAAAGTTTAATCTTCGCATGCACCATGAATCCGCAACTCGGATTATCCTCTCGTGGCTAATCAATGCTTATTTGGATGATGACGACAATGACTGCACACGTTATATTTTGTATTCCTCCTCGGCAGGTCCGATAGACGAGTACCGTGTGCCGTTTGACGAGGAGATCGGTGATCACCCCACGCTGGAGGACATGCAGGACATCGTGGTGCAGAAGAAAATGCGGCCGGCGTTTCGAGAGGCGTGGCTCAAGCACCCGGTAACGCACACAGGACACAGCCCCAAATTGTCCTTTAGCGTCTCGTTGGTAACGTTTCTCGTGTTCTTCTTGTTTGTTGATTGGGATTTATTCGTAGCGGTGATCGTTGCCCCTGACTGGCAGAATAATGCCAATTTGCAAGCCAGGTGCCGAGTGCCAATTGTGACGCACAGGGACAGCTGCCACTGGGGGGGTGCCCTTTCAGATTTTTGCGATAAAATGTGCAGCTCCGATTAGCATGGTCGGCTAGGTATGGTGACCTAATTATCCAGAATGCACCTGATTTGCATCGGATCTCAAAAGTTAAGCATTGTTGAACCTTGGTTGGCATGGGTGACCAACATGCACTACAGCTTGGTATAGGATTCAGGATTACACGGAGGGGGGGGCAGCAGAGGGCAGTGCAGCACCATCTGGATACGTACTGCAACGTCTATGTTGACCGCCTTAACCAAGCTACGTTTGGCTCTCACAACTTTCACAGTGTGGGAAGGCCGTCATCAAGCAGTGAATTTAGCAAAGGGACTGTCCATGTACAATTTCGTAATATTCCTGTAGGGGATGAGTGGTCCTCCATGAGCCTGAAGACCAACGAGAAGTGCAGACGGGTGGGATTTTGTTCAGACGGATCTTGGCGGTGGTATATCTACCGTAGCAGTAGCAGCTGCGGGATTTGGCAGAGGGTAGACATTTTTGGCGAGGTGCGGTGGCATCAGCGGCTTTATCCACGGTGAAATTTTGAGCTCTTGATTTTCATCTTGCGCGGTGGTGGTGGGGGTGGGGAACGATGATGCCCGCAGGGACTGGCTCAACTGTGCGTGACCATGGAGGAGTGCTGGGACCACGACGCGGAGGCTCGCCTTTCTGCCGCTGCGTGGAGGAGCGCCTGGTGCAGTTGCGGCGCCACCCGGGGCCTCCAGGCCTGCCCGGCGGCGGTGGCACCACCACCGCTACCACCGCCTCCTCTCCTCCCATCGCCGACACCACCACCACTACTGCTGCGCCCCTTCACTCCGACTCCCTCATCATCTCCATGTCTCCGACCTTACTCAACCTTCATTCGTCGTCGCCCAGCAAGGAGTCGAGCCTCTAGACCAGGGGTGGGGAACCTCGATGGACCCGCGGGGCCGGATGTGGCCCACGACTTCATTTCATACGGCCTGTGACCTTCAGTCACTGCAAGGGCCCCCTTGAATATTGACAGAAGTGATGAAGCTGTTTGTGTTAACGTGTGGCCCACCTAAGGTAATTCAAAGTGCTATTTGGCCCCTGGTAAGGACAGGTTTCCCCACTCCTTCTGTAGGCGATCGTCAAACTGTTGGAATAACTTTTCATTATTTAACCAGGTTTAGAGGTACGCATTGTTCGTTATATGCTTCACAAGGAAACTTAAGGGCGTCATGTACGAACAGTTTAAACATTTTACCCAATTTAGTTTTCATATTTGACGCACGTTTTGGATTTGGTAGGCTTTGACCCTTGGACGGATATCAGAACGATATTGCTGGGTCATTGACGTCTGCTTTCCAGCAGGGGGTGAGATGAAATTGAATCGGTGCAAGTACCGTGACTACTAAGCATTGGGGAATTGAAACAGTTTTAATTTCCCGCAAGCTGGCTCAGTGCGTGGGCCCTGTACAAATACAATACAATTTGGATATTTATCGCATATAAATGCAACCACACATCAAGGTTCTGTAAACAGCAAGGTGTGTGCACCACCAAAGCTGTTTATCTGCCCGTCCAATCTGGTTTTATTTCATCGATGTCAACCGGAGACTTGCTTAGTTTAGCCAGCGATTATTTTTTTTACACTACCTGCTTATCCTAACCAAGGTAGAGATGCTATCTGTTCATGGCGTTGTGAGGTTATAAAAAAAAAATCACTCAAATAGTTCACGTAAGTTGGACAAAAATAATAGTGCTTTAATTTTTTTGAAACCAAAGTGACTTGAGCTGATTTTTATACTTAGCATATTTTAAATATGAAATGTATTATCCCTCTTTTTCTCCACGTTCCCTCCAATTGGCTCTTCTGGCATTGTAGTAAGAAAAAATGGACATTTTATTTAAGAAAATAGTAATTCATTGCAGTTGATTGTAGTTAATAAACTTAACACTGGCGCTAACTCATAATCCTAATTTGGCTACGTAAATGGTTACCAAACACTGTCCTCACCCAGATAAAAAATTTTTTAAAACATTTACCGTGAATGTTTAAAAGTAAATGTTTACTAAGCGCGCTTACCTGACGGTCAGGGTTAAGGGCAGGGTTAGCATTTAGATATGGCTGGGGATAAATTCTCATTTGGGGTAAGGCCTTGGGCTGGCGATAGTGTTAAGGCTAGGGTTAATCATATTGGCTTTAACCATCTAAATACTTTACGATAACTAAATTAGAATATGTAATATATTTGTTAAACATTTTTATTTTCACGATAAAATGTCCCAGTCTCCCCTGCTGTACATGAAACGCAGGTCTGGCCAGGACCCTAGTTGGAATGTAAATTCCCCTCTTCCACTGCACATCCGAGCCGAGCCAACACGGCACATTCACAGTACAGGTGATTTTTCCACCGGCCAATTACCGTGCTAAGCTGGAACCAAATCGCGATGGTACACTGGCCTTGGCGAGACGTCGAAATCTGGTTGCTTTTTCATTGCACGTGCATCAAACCGTCAGCTCTTAAAGGACACAGAGTCGCGGCGTCATCTACACGCGGCTCTCCACCCATTCGTTTCTTGTTACGTCAGCGGCACGACTTGGCTCCGGTGGTAGAAACCAACAGTGCTGACTGTGCCGGGCAGGCTCGGCACGGTCACGAGCGGAGCTAGGTTGTGCA